CCCAAACCATTCTATGATTCTATGTTTACACTAATGAGGAACATCATGTCTCTCCATAGCAGATTTATGGCTGAAAGATCTAGATGGAGCTGAGGCTTCAAAATGGCGCCAAGAAATGAACTAACAACTATTAAGTAGTGTAGACAGCAAAGCATCCAGTGTTCAGGCCTTCTATTTGGAATTCTTTCACTAAAGAGAATAGAGGCACTATCAGAGTTTTATATGTGAGCAGCTTTTTAGAGAAATTGGCAAGGAGGAGTAAATGGTTGAATTCACTCTTCTCTTAAAGGTGAGCCATGAGGATGGATATAAGGACATGGAGAGAACATTGAGAAATAAACCTGTTAGTGACTGTGATAAGACCATATTTGATCACTGATGATAAGTGTTGGTAGCATTATAATGAAACACTGCAAGCTCTAGACTTGACTTTCCTGGCATGATGGTGTATAACACACAAGTCTTTTAATTCATGTTGTCAAAGGCAATTAAGAAATTAAAAACTTTAAGAAATGAAATTTTAAAAATTATTCCCATCTGGCAACCAAATGTGAATCCTTGCTTCACTCTAATAATCACACAGTAAAATGTGGTCTTGTTTCGAACACGCTTTTTTTGAAAAAGCTGTTAAATTTATTCCCCTTTCTCTCTTGCCAATGACAATTCATACTGTAACATCACATTTAACATTTCGTATTCTGACAGCAAGCATGAAGGGAAGGATCCACCTCAATAGACGCTTTACAGTACAGGCATCTCCAACTAGGCTAGTTACCACAGCTGCCTGTAGTTTTAGTGGGAAAAAATCAGGCAAGTCTTGGGCAGAAGGAATGTTCACCATTTTAGAAGTATCCTTAAAAAGAAATGTAGAGATGCTTATTTTTCTCCATGGACTCTAAAAGAATGTCACGGGGACTAGCTCAGTTAAATAAATTGTCTGATAGTTATCTAGGTATCTAGAACATTTCAAACTTGCATCAGACCATGACTAATATACAGCCACAACAGATTCCATTTGAATTTCTTAAAAAAAAAAATAAATAAAATTAAAAAATTGGTCTGTAATGATTTTGACTTATTCAATACAATAACACCTAACTTTCAGGTGATTTCTCACTTTCTGGAATTAAAAAATAAATACATGTGTGTGCTGCCTCTCTGTACAATACACTGTCTTGTTAGACACCTAGGAATGGAATCCTTAAGAGAGAAGCCACCCAAAAAGGAGACAGCTGCACAATGGTCAGACCTAAAGCCATTCCTAGAAAAAGAATTAGATAGCAAACTCTGCACTGAGAGCAACACTGCTCTCCATTCAGAAATCACAGACCCTGTTCTGAAATTAGTTGCCTAAGTCATGTCTGGTTCCTCAGAAAAACATAAGGGAAAAGGAGACACTTCAGGCAAACATTAAAATTAAAATTCCATCAACCCAAGCCCAGAGAGAACTGACAAGTCCATGTCTCTGTTCTACTTGAGTTAAGCAGAAGTCTCCTGTTTTGGAGGAGACTGCCCAAGAGAGGAAACAATCCCATTTGCCAAGATAGATTGTCTCTTGCTCATTGTCCCCATAGACAACTGCAGGTTTGGGGGAAGGAGGGAGACACACATACAGAAAATAGCAAGTTTACTTTAAAGACAAGTATCTAAGCACCGAACTGGGCTATGGAAGTCAAGGTCTGACTCCTAACTAAAACAAAATTCAAACAAGAACAGAAATAGAGAATAGAAATTGTGACTGCTTCTACAGAAAGTACATTTATAACACTATACCTAAGAACAGTCCAGCTTTTAGGAATGCCATGTTAGGGGTTTTTTTGACAGCTGAGGGAGACAAAATGTTGGATGAGGTGGGCTTTTGGTTTGACTCAGTATGGCCTCTCAAGTCCAGACAGGAAAAGGAGGTATCTGAAAGCGTGATTGTCACATCTACATCAAGGGTCTGAATGGAAGGGACAAGTTCTGGTTTGTAGAGAATGCAACGTGCTTAGGTATAACACAGGCAGGAATACTCACAGTGGGGGAAAGTTGAGTCACGGAAAAAGAATAGCTTGATTTTTAAAGCCTGGATGGTTCTGGGTATGTCTTAGCAGCACATTTAAAGACATCTAGGAAATCTTTTTCATATAAACTGACATTCTGTTGGAATTTAGGGTTAGGTGGATGATATCCTTGATTTGTATCTATAAACAAGAAAGTTAGTCCTTATATTTCCCTTGTGAATTAAATTTAAAGATCTCTTCCAGCAGTGAATGGCCTGCTTCCCTAGAATTCTGCAGAAGCATGGTCACATTCCCATCTAATCACAAGAAGTTCCACTAGCTATTTATTTGAGTGAAGAATTACAATGTTACATGCACAAATGCAACTTAAGCACAAGTAGCTCAAATGTTCCTTCCCTCTGAACATATGTAAGGAATGCGGATGCTTTTATTCAGTGGCAACAACCCAGCCAAAATCTTATGCAACAAGATTTTGCAATTCCTCTAAATCGAAGTATGGAAAGTGTTAGAGCTAGAACTGAACTTACTATATGCTTATTTCTCTCTTTCTGGTACAGGTCTACTTTATTAAATCATAGTATTTCTGAACTATTCATAGCACTAGCTCCCAGTTGTACATGGCCTCTACAAAATAGAGCCCTATTTAGAACTTACGGGGCACTGCTACAACACAGCATGTTACATACAGTAAACAAGAACCTGTAAAATGGAAACAACTGCAGAAAATAAAAATGTTGGTCCATGTTGGCAAAGACTAATTCTGCTTTCAAGACATCTTTAAAACTGTCGCAAGTACAATATATAGAATACACCTAAGTCACAGCAAACTCAATGGAAAAACTGTAAAATCAAAAATAATGTTAAAAAGTAGGCTGGGGAGGCATTCAGAATTAGAAATGTATTGAAACTGACATTTAGTTGTGTTTAATGCAAATTACTGCTTCTTCAAAATGATAGAAAAAGTAAAAAGAGTTCATCTAAACAATAAATCAAACAGAAGACAGAATGAGAGACTAGAAGTTCAAACTTGATATACTGTTAGTATATGAAAGCTTGAGATGGCCATACTTTCACATTTGAAGAGGATTAAGATGAATACCATGACTAAAATAAAAGTAGTCTTAAAAAACACTTAAGAGCAACAATGAGGTTATATGTTTTTTTGAAAAGAGTTTTGTGGAATTGTATTTATACAGTACCAAATGTTTACTAAATGTCTCAGCAACAACGGTTAGGTGTGTTCCTTTTCCCAAAGATCTGACAAACTGTTTTTTCCTACAAGACAATAAGTGCAGGAGAGAACAAAAAGCAAAGCTTATCAGCACAGGTAGAAATACTTTTTTTTTTTTTCTTTATAACTAATTTCTTGCATATATATAAACAAATCATCTAAAAATTAATTTCTGAGTGCAATGCAATTGATAAAGAATGGTAGTTTGACGAATACTATTAAACTGATGCACACATACGTAACAGGAATTGGACCATTGTAATGCTTCTTTAATTTGCTTTGAACAGAAATGGACAGCTGAAACATCACAAGTGGATCTAAATTTTACTGGAATTTAAAACTTCCCTCTAAGATTGAGATGATAGGCAAGGGAATTCATTTGTAATGAAAACACGATGGAAAATATTTAATGGATTGAATGCATTCAGAATTCAACAAAGCAACTGGATTTATATCAGGGATGGATTTTTGTCCACATTATTTTTATTGCTTTAGCAGAGTATATGGTATTTTACTATTATTTTAGTATTTTTAATTTCATATGAGCTAAATTTAATCTTTACTGCTTATGCTCTGCTGAGACCAAGGGTTGTTTCAGCATGCTGCCAAGTCCAGCTTCAGAGGGAACAAATTTTAGTTCCTTATCTTTTACAATCAACAAGCAGGTTATGCAGGATTTGCACAGCTCTCCTCTGACTCAGTAAGTGTGTAGAGAACCAAACTTCAATATTTTTCCAATTATATTTCTCAGAGGTGCTTATTCTCATTTCTAATAGCACCTGCACCATTTTAAATCTTTCCATTTGTAGACTCATAACTAATAATTATGGCCTCAGCAGAGGTACACTTCAGTATTTTAGAAAAGGTTGGAAGATACCTTCATCAAATACCACATTTCCCACTTAAAGTGGAGTGAAGCTGTATGCTGGATTCTTTAAAAAATGTGTATGATTAAAAGTGACCATGGCTTTTGTTCTAGAGAAACAAACCAAAGAGAAACATTTCCATAGGTTTGTATTTGTTCTAAACTTAACCTATTTATAACTACAGGAGGTTAAATACATGTCAGTATTTTTTGCCATGTCCACCTCCCTAATTCTTTTGAGAAAGCATGCTTTAAGTTCTTGGCCAAGATAAAGTTCTCAATCCTGATAAATTATTAAATATTTTTCAATATATTTCTCATGCTTGTAAGGTTTTTTTAACCTCTATAGCATCATATAAGCTGAAGAGCTTCCAGGTAGAAATACTGCACACTTGGTTTGAAAGTGAAAACCAAGAATGAATCACAAATTATTTGTTCCTTATAAACACGAGAAAAAAATATTCGTAGGCCTTGGAATACTAGCATTCCTCCTAAAGAAGTTTTAATTGGTTAAGGCAAAATGCTTAGCAATTGTCAAGTTAAACAAAATGGTTCAAAACTTTTCCTAGTGAAAAAACAGAAATCAAAGAACCTACTTGTGTTGAGAAGTAACAGCGCTTTCATACACAGGAACTCTTCTTGGCTAACTTGAAGTCTTACAAATTCCTGTGGGAGTTGCCACATGGATAGGCACAGGGAATAGAATGATGACTCTTTCATCCTCTGTCTTACCCAGAAAAGGCAAAGAAAAAACCAACCAACAAACAAAAAACCACAAGATGAAAATAAGGAACAGCTCCAGTATTACTTATTTGAAGAAAGTACCTTGTTAGCAATTTAATTGCCACGTTACAGAAATAAAGAAAGAGTTTATACACATGAATATTCTGACATTTTTGTACCTACAATCAACAGCTGTTTTTAAATTGTAATGAATATGCTATTATTTTGAATGTTTAATTGTTTGGATTTTACTGTTGCCCAGAAAAGAAAAATCAAACAACAAAACCTTGGAGATTATCAAAGCTGCATGCTAACTACCAAAAAAGCGGTTTTATTAATTAACACTCTAATGATTAATATTTTCTTTTAGATGTTGACAGATTTTCACATTCTCTGAAAAGATTTCAAAGCATAAAATTGAAGATAAACCTGAAAGTTTACAGAAAACTTGTTCTTAGGTTTTGCAAAAATGTCCGCATCAAAATATTTTGTTGCAAGTCTAACATTATACTGGTAATGCCCATGATACTATTTTTGTAATTATTTATGTCATTAAAGACACAGTTAAAAATGTTTCATGTAAATATACACCAAAGTCTTTTAGGTAAACTTAGACATTACCACAGCCTTATCTAAAATTCTGCAGAAGTGAACAGAATAAACCATACGAGGAAATACATAAAAGTGTTTTTAGCTTTTTTGCAGCATTTCAGTCTTACTTTTCAAGATGTTTGTATAGTGAGTATATTTTATTGCATGTATTTATTGGGAAGGCAGTTTTCAACTGAAATGACTGCAACAGTTGCATTACAAAGTCTGTAATCTGAACTGAATTCATTGTACATTAACCAGAAGATCCAGTTAACTTGGGCTAATTTTACAGAGTTGCATCTCAAACCAGACGAATTAGGTACAACAAGATTAAATTTCCCCCTCAACCCCACAGAAGTTTATACAGCATTCCAACCTGCCTGCAGATAGCACCCTCAACAATGAAAACAGAAGATATTTTCCATTAATAAAAGGCTTTTCTCAATGCATTGAGGTTTTTTTCTTGTTAAAATGTTACTGTTACTGTAAAAGAAAATTATTTCAGCTTTGTTCAACATCTGGTATCTTGTACCAGCTCTTAAATGTCTTAAACATAGCAATTTAATTTGTTAGATCTGAATGGACTGTTATTTCTACACATACTTTAAATCTCCCTTCCTATTCCTTTCTGGTAGCCTCTATTCCTAACTATTCTCTATGAAGAGTGATAGCAGTTTTCAGGGTATGCTTAAATGCTGCTCTTAGTCATGTTTTGAGACACTGCAAAGTATAAGTAACAGTGAACCTTTGTAAGATTTTAATACTAATTCATGAAACCTTTGTCAAACTAACACTCCTGCCCTTCTTGGTCCAAAATCAATGCTACCAAACAAGTCATTCCCAAGAAGCACTGCAACTGAGTTCACTAAATAACAGATTGGCTGTGAAACAATCTTTGGATTGTGGTTTCATGGTCATTTTGAAACAACTCAAGTGTGTGTTGGCCTTGTAGAAGGATTTTCCATTATCTCCTTCCACCTCTAGGTGTGCACTCCTGCTATTCTGGCATTAGTGCCTGCACTCCCACGTGGTGAGTCAGAACCAGGATCAGCTCCACCTGCTAATTAATGGCTTTTTTCTGGGGTATTTCTCAAGCATGCAATTCTTTATCTGTTGGAAAGCACAGCCAGATAGTGTTTGACCCATCTTAAGTGAAATCATGCAGATGCATGACCAGGGCAGTGTTCAGCAGTTACCTTTGCTTAAAGTGATCATGAAAGTACAATCATCTTAGACATCATTGTAGACAAGGAAGATCCTTAAATTTTACTCATCTAAAAGCTAACTTATTTCCCAATAAATAGTTGCAGCTATGATTTAGTGTGCCAGTTACTTTTCACATCTAACTCTATAACTTTTCTAGTATGATCCTGATGACACGTTCTACAACCAAGAGAAGTTTACGTTGTCAGTACATCTCCTTCTCGATGTAGATGGACTTGAGCTACAAATAAGAAGCTGTCTCTGAGAGATTACAATCAGGGTTTATAAGTCTGAACCCTATACTGGCAGAAAGTCTTCTTCACAAGATGGCAGCAGTGGTCTGCACGCAGGGTAGCACCCCAAGTTGTGACATTACTGCCTAACGCCATCTGACTCTGTGTTTCTTTGGAATGTAACCATGAGATACATCACAGACTATGCTGGGACAGAATAGTTAAATTCTCTCAATCTCATCCCTTCGAAGTATTTCAATTTGTACAGCAAATAATACACATGGGAGAGGAAAGAATTCATTACTCACTAACTTCACAGTGATTTATGATCATCTGGAATAGGAAAGGTCAGGAGCTACATGGCCTGCTCCACCATGTATTTTCTGTGAAGAAGTTCACTGGCAAGAACTTTCCTGTCTATACATTTTAAATTCAGATGCCTAGATCTTCTGCAAATCCACCTGTTAATCCTTAAACAGGTATGTCTTACAAGAAAACCTGTTTAACTTTCACCTCACTTCATTTTTGTTCTTCTAGGATTTTAAGAAAAAAATAGCTAAAAGAAATGTATTAAGGAAAAACAAACATGAGATTAAATAATGTTTTGCTGTTCCCAGTAACCTCCCATGTACTATCAAAATTGTATCTATTTATCTATGTACCTAAAATTACAACTTTTCTGAAAAACTGACAGACTGTAATAAAGATTATCAGAATTAATCAGCATAGTGAGGAAAAATCTAAGCCAATAATCTCTCCCTCAAGACAGAAATGAGCAGTCTCACATATTTTATTCTTTAAATTAAAATTCCTTCTTGCTTAATTATTACCATTTTCTAACAAGAAATGTTCTTCAGAAAAGCAGAGTTTTATCAGAAAGTGTCAAACCTGAGTATTTAGACTATATTTAAACTATATGTAAAAACTACTCAAACCATAATGATCAAAGGAAATCCCATTTCTTAAACATCAATTTATGTCTTACTCAGATGAATGCAGGTAAATCTTCCAATAGTATAATTTTTCTTTATATATTTTTGTCTTAGATAATTAAGATATTATTTAAACTCTTTTTGTTTGGCCATGTCAGCAGAATATTTGGGATTCCCACAAAACCCTTCCCAAAGTTACTTAACTTTAATGCGATCAGAGCACTTTGCTGTTAATTCTGACACAGAAAAAAGTAATGAATGAAATCTTGGCCTCAAGGAAGTCACATTCTCAGTGACACAAGTAAATTAAAAATGTCATTCATATTATGCAACAGCAGTGTCTACTTACTCATTTAGAATCAGATCTGGTGCAAAATATAGCATCTGACCACTGACATGCTTGTATGATCTCCATCCCATTGCAAAAACCATTAGACTCATCCAGGAGTACTGGATGAGGGTTATCTGATCATCAATATGCAAATTCCGAAATCCTGGAAATTAAATGAAAAGTTAAAATACTTTGTAATTCTTATTTAGACAACAGCTGAGTAGATGTTCTGATATTACAACTTTGAGCTATAAAACTGAGACCACCTAGAAAGACAAGTGCTTTTGGGGATGTAGCTCTCAGAATTCTGTTTCTGAAGTTTGTACAGTAACTGACTATCTATCTCACAGGTTAACCTTGTCTTTGACCTGATACAGTATTTTGAAATGATCAAACTAAAATTAACTCTAGCTTTCAAAAGTATTCTGGGAATAGGAATGCATCTCATTTTCCTTTGGTAAAAATATGAGTTTGTAACATAATTGCTGTAACCAACTCTTATTTAATATAGATAACCTCAGACTCCAGTGTTCTTAACAAGAGATAGAACTGTAGTACAATAAACATCCACATATGAATATCTTTCTTGCATTTTACTAAAGAGAAGCACATTCAGTTATGTGTTTGCCTTTGATAATTTTTGCTCTTTAATCACTTTAAGGATTGCTATGAATTATCTGAGTCAATCTAACAGCTTCTTGCCACTGAAAGCAGTGGTCATGCTTGTCATTATCTGGCCCTGTTGCCTCCTCCAAGCAAGCTTTGGCATTCAAAAAGGTTTCTTTTATTCTCACTTAATGCAATGAATGAGTTCAACCAAGACGTCTGACAAGCACAAGCTGCAATGGTGAGGAGCAGTAACAAGGACTATCCTTTCCTGCAGCAGCAAAGTGGCACACTGAGCTTACACAAAATCGTACTTTCTAGCCTTTCTGCTTGATATATTGATTTTTATATGTGCCAGGATCAGGGCCATGTGACGATACAGCACATGTACATACATAACATGATTTTTCTCGGAATCCACTCTTGGATCTTCATATATTCAGTTACTTCTCATTACCAGTCTATTTGTGAGCTGCTTAGTCTGAACTGGTACTGTTTATTACAGCTTTTCTCTGTTGCTTTCAAAAATTTTATACAAAAAGAATAACAGATTAGGAGGGGTTGAGGTGGAAAGGCTGCTCTAACAATCACATACAGGAACTCTCCAGGCTTTTATTGATTCTTGGAATGAGTTTCAATGTTCAGATGCATTCCTTCAAAAGTGCCCCCTTACTAAAATTAATTTGATCAGATATATAATCTGATTAAGCAGAAGATTAATAATTTTAGAATTTTTAAGAATTAATTGACAGGCAGACAATAATATTCTCTTTTGACTGCGCATCCTAGGACACATTTGCTTAACTAGAATTCATGACATATAAGAAGTGTTATTACCTGGTAGCAATTTAGACCATTTGACCACACAAAGAAGTTGCCTCTCACAAAGATGATTTAGACTGGTCAGCAAGGAACTTGGTGTTTCGGGTTTTGTATTGTCATAACCAGCATAGACAACTTCTGGCTCAATGCCTCGTAAGACACTTATCATTGGGGGAACAAACTGTATTTCTTGATTTGGAGAAAAGGACAGCCGTTGGGTTAGAGACTGGCTTTCATCTTGAAGAGTTGCTGGCTGCTGGAGTGCAGCATCTAGTGTTCTCACAACCTTGATTTTGTTAAACTTTTTAAATTTTCGACCTGAAAGAGAAAATTGTTGATCTGTTAAAACGAATCAACCAGAAGCAGTAATATTTTCCAGTAGTGCTGGATTACACTTTTAATCTATACAAGGAAACTAGAACTGTCTTTGGAGTAAGTTTTTTATTTTTTTGTCTATTTATATAATTAAGAATAATCATGGAAAATTCTTAAGAGTTTCTCCTTCCATATCCTCCTCTCTTTACTAAGAGATGAACGGCACCCACCCATTAAAATTATTGCCATGAATTCCAGGTTACAGTAACCTTATAATGTGTTTTCTGGTTCAGTTCCCACTGTTCTATCATATGCCAACAGTGGAGCCAGCTGGCTCTACAGCTAAGTTTCTATTCAGTGTTTATTAAGGATACTGTTTCTTTTTTCTCCCTAATATTCAGAAACAAAAATGCTAGTAATTCATTACTACACACAGAAATTCCTTTCCTCCAGTGCCATAAAGACAGTGCAGTCTCATGGCTAAATTCTGTTTTGACGATCTGTAAGGTAATATTTTCCTCCTATTTTCCAAAAAGAAAATAGAATTCAGGAGATGAGTGAAATGCCAGCAAATACTGCAAACCCACATATCAGCACTTAAAAGACTCTTCACTTCTGAAGAATAATTTCTCTTTCTTGGTATTTGTAACTCCTATTTTCATACTGCAGTGGTTTGAAGAACACTAAAGTAGCAGAACTACCTTCCCAAAATAAACACAGATACAACATCTGGTATGGCTACGGAAATATACAAAGCTCTAGGTAGCAACTCTTCTAATTTCTTTCATGGAAAAAGTCCAGCAGTACACCATACAGACACAGAAAATCAGATCTTCAGGGGTTCAAAGACAATAAGCTTCAGTAACATTACTGTATTACAAGTTTCAATAAAAGCACAAATCCATGTAGAAGTGGCAGCGTGGAAGGGATTTGCTTTAAATAGATCCTCAAAGGTGATGGAAACCCTGTTAGATCATGACTTCTGCCAAAGAAGTTTGGCTTAGTGAAAAAATGGATAAAAAAAGGAATGAAGACACTGATACTTATGATGTGATTTAGATGATGGTGGGACACTAAGAGAATGCACATTTTAAGTTTACCTTAAAGAAAATAACAACGAATGAGAAGGTTTTGCTACAAAAAACACCCAGAAATCACAGGGGCATTTTTACTCATTGAGGTGTTGCGTACTTTAACAATAGTAGAAAAAGAGATGCACCAAATTTCACTGGATGAAAAGAAAATCCATGCCTATCAGACGGCTGAACCACTGAGAAACTGCATTATAAAATGGCAATATGCAAAAAACATTCTGAAAGTACATGAGGTGAAAGGTAATAGAAGCGTAACAGTATGAATTTATTTGGTCGAATTAAGATCCAGTTTATAACATGCGTATCAAATTGTTTTTTGAAAAATAGTACTTTATTCAAAAGTGAAAGATTAGACAGGGGAATTTATCACCTTCTAAAGAAAGGGGATGACTTCTCCATCTTTCACTGCTTTCTTTTTATTTTAGTTAAAAGCAGTGCTGCTCTGTCAGAATGCAACCAGTGCAACAAAGAGGCCCTAGGACATGTAGCAGGGAAGCAGGTAGCAGGGAAGCACAACTAAACTTAGGTACATGCTCTGAATCTATTCTGCACTATTTGTGGAAGGAACTGAAGGATGCTAGCATAGTCAGATTTATCTATTAGGAAAGTCCCAGTCTTCCAAACTACACACTAAACCAGAAAGGTTCAATAAAATTGGCTTTATGTAGGAACATGTCTATTCCATTTTCTTCAGGTGTTCCCATATCACACAAGATAGAAATTTTATGAAAATCCATTGTTTCCATTTTGGAATACCTAGGATGTACACTGCAGAGAATTAAATTGACCTTTTCAAAACATTCATTAGTAGTACACGGGTAGTATAACTTCAAGCAAGATTAATACATAGGAAGATTCCTTATGTAATTTTTAAATACTTCATACAGAATGAATTATATTACTTAAGTCAACTATTCTTGATGTCCACTGGCATAACTGGAGGCAGAATCAGTTTGTGAACCACACAGGATTGAGCAGATGAACACAATCTAAAAAGCCAAAAATTGCTTTTAAAAACTAAGTATTTTTCTGCCATCCCGTCAAACATGTATGTTTATGCATTTCACATATAACAAAGTTGTAGCCAAAAGTGCAAATTCTCAAATTAAAACAATATTTAAAATCCAAAGGGAGTATACTAAACAAAATTTCAAGAAACACACTCTATTGATAGTATAAATATGAATGATGGGCTCTTCAGTAACACTCACCATCCAATGCAGTCAGGGATCATACTCCCCCTATTTAACTCTGAGTTTAATGAGCTTAGTTAGGATCAAATGCCCGAACAATCTTATGCTCATTTTATCACTTGTGGTAAGAATAGAAACATTGCTGATCAGTGACTCCTTAGTAAAGAATCAAACACAAACTTAAACCTTAATGTTACAGCTGAACTAAAAAAACTACCCACAAAAGAATAGACAATATATTATGACAAGAGACCTAGGGCCAATTTCTATCATAACAAAGCTATATATAGTCTTAAACATGCTGGGAATTTCCCACTAACTATTGTTTAGGCATGAAGGAAAACAGAACAATATATTTGATAGTTCATAAATAATGATTTCAGGTATTCTCTGAAATAATGGCTTCAGATACTTTTACAGTTCAGAGAACAAGTAAAGAAAGAAACCAGAGTGCTTATCACATGGAAATGTTAGTAGTTAATAAGTATCCATGTTTCCAAGTGATTAAATGTATCAGAATTAATGTCACACTGGCTTGCAGAATTGCTTATGTGTTTATTTCCAATTATGTTGCTTAACAGCCACCAGTAAAGCAACTCCACTTGTTACCTATCTACTGCAGAGGTGACTACTAATAACTCACAATAACCTTTCTCATCCACCACAAGGAGACCATGTCAAATTAATGCAAATTCTTGAGGACATAAAGAAAACAACAGATATTTGACAACAGCTTAGTTTTTCAATTGCTCCTTACGAAAATATCCAGATAAATTCCCACTGCAAGATAAACAAATGTCTCCACTTAGTCCTATAACGTGTAAAGAATACTAACTCACTTTGGCAATTATCCATCTTAATACTAAAACCTGTCTATGCATATTTAGACAGCACACCTCTTTGTAACATGTTCACCAGTTTGTTTTAAGATAGCCAACCAAGCAAGATGTTCCTTAGTACTTGTAGTTCCCTTACCCTCAATCACTACAAACAGCATGTGAGTAGTATTTATGCACATGTACCTAGAAAACATAAAGAAATTAAAAAATAAAATCTACTTAATCTCATAATCAAATATTTTAGGATTTTCTCTTTGAAATATAATTCTGTGTTTTAATATTCTTTTAACTAGGCATAGAGAACCATATTGCCAGTCAGACATCACCGATAATAGACATTTCATATTAAAATGGCTGGGCTTTCTAATAAAAGTCTAACATCGCACTACCTTTCTCCATACCCTGTAATCAGGTGAAAAATATCAATAATTTATTATTCTTGACAGAACACTATGGCTTTGACTTTAAGGTCACTACGCTTTTGCATTTTGTGTAGGAGAACAAGCTGTGTACACTTTAAGAGGGTGCATACAAAATAAAGGAACAAAGCAGCAAAGCAGAAGTAATAGGTCTTGATTTTAATAAACCCTTTGATGCTACCTCAGAAAACCTGACCTGGAAAATTAATTCAAGTTTGTCTGCATATAATCACTGCAATGTGGACTAAAAGCTGACTAAAACAATGAAGCATTAATTTAGCAATACAGCTGAACAAGGAATATGTGATAGTCAGCCTGGGAAAATTACAGGTTCACCAAAAGAAAAAAAGCTAGGTATTTGTTTATTCCAGGACCTGACCCAGCTCCCTGCTATCCTATTAGGTAAAAGATTAGAATGGTAATAGATTAATGTGTCTAGTTAGGAGATTATAAAACTCAAAGACAATTAACAGTCCCACACAGAATGACAATTAAGGCATTATGATTATGTGCTTTCTTTGATAATTTCTTTCTATATATTAAGAAAGAGGAAACAGACCACATAGTGAAATTGGTTACTAAAGCCCTCTGTTGATATTCTACAATTTACTCACAACTGACTACAATGTATTTTAGAACAATGCAGGTTCATTTCATTGCTTTGAAATAAGAGTCAGAAAATGGAACTGTTGTCAATGAAACAATTCTCTATATGGTTGCCACTCAGTAGTTACATTCAGTGGAAGATAAGTATACTTCTCCCAGCAGTGGGTTTAATTAATGTAGTAAGATTCCTTAGAATCTTATAGTTAACATTCTGTAAAATCAGTCTTTTCCATCTTGATTAAGCAGTATTGGAGGTCTGCATTTAGTAACTGAAGGCTAGCATTAGAAACTATGTAGCAGGGATGAAAGAACAAAAGTGTATATAAGTTGCGAAAGGCTGAAATCAGAAAAAGCACAAAAAATCTTAAAGTATAATAGACTGTAAACCTAAGATTTAAAGTACTGACAACTCTGATAGATTAAAAATACTCAACGATGTATCTAACTATGATTTTTTTTTCCATGAACTGGAAATCTGTTTATGGACACTTATGTCCTGGGGAAAATTACCCAGTAGTACCCCATATATGAATCAGTGTCTTGAGCAGCATGGCAAGTCATAGGTAGGAAATATTCCACATGTGATACAATAAAGGAAGTATAAGAAATGGCAGAAGACGAAAAGAAAGATGACAGTAACAGAAGAAAAAGCATTACGGTCTATTTTGAGATTTTTTTTTTTATTTTATTTTAAATCTTAGTTTCCTCATTTTTTGGCCTGCATTTGGGCAGAGACATCTTTTATAGATGAAGTTACTCAAACCTTATAAGACAACCTTACAAGTTGTCCCAAACCTTAAAACACGGGCATCTGCCATCTCCTCCTTTCCCAAGTCTCACTCTTATCACATATTTTCCACAGCCCACTCTGGACCCCTGCCTCACCAGCTTTTTTCTCTTCCAAACCTGGGCAAACAACATTTCAGGTTCCACCCCTGTAGTAATGCTATTTTTCTCCTGCACTGCTACCCCAGGTCTAAACCACAACTTCTCTCTGAGAAGGATCCAAATACGTTCTTTTGCTTTTGTCCCTCTTTCCCCAGTCCAGTGCCACCAACTCCAGCTCCATTTGTTTTACTGAGAGGCAGCACTGACTGACCAAGGTGCAGGAAGGAGGGAGAGACAGTAATGCCAATTAGATTGATGGCTGTCATTACTATCTCCACCGCTATGAAGAATGCAGTTTCAAGAAGACAACTCAAAGGAGAGGCAGCGCTGAACTTCTAGGGAGGTTCAGCGGTGCAACACAGAAACACAGTTCATGCCCCAGCATCGCCTCTCCTTCCTCTCATCCTGCTGGCTGTTCCCTGCAGCACTGTCGGTTACAGAAGATAATGTACCAACAGCTGCTCGCTGTTTGGGAACTACTGATTCACATCACCAACAGAAGTACAGAATGTAAGGCTGACATGATGGCCATGTGTGCAGAATTCACCAACTCCATATATCTACAGGCGCTGAAAGCATAGAGCTGTGCAATCAAAATACCAGTCTGAAAACTACATATGCATTTAAACTTATGAATGAACACAGATTAGCAGGATAATGAAGTTATTCACAGTATATAATGCCAGTTCTTCTTTCAGAAATGAAAAACAATACATAAAATGCAGAGAGTGGGATAGAGATGTTTGATGCACTAAAATAAATTATAGTAGGAAGAAATCAGGTTTTGTCCTTTCTTATTCAAGGCCAGGTTGGAATGGGCTTTGAGCAACTCGGTCTAATGGAACGTGCCCCTGCCCATGGCAGGGGGGTTGGAACTGGATGATCTTTAAGGTCTCTTCCAACCCAAACCATTCTGTGATTCTGTGATTCATTCCCTTTGAGAATGTACCATATGTATCATCTTTATATAGCCAATTTCTTATAGTCTTAGCCATGTATTTTCAAGCTCTGTGGTGATCCAAAACTTTATATAGCTAAAGTTCTTGTGAAAAACAAAAAAATACAGGGTTGGATGATCTTATGGTCATCATTCTCACATGTTAGCATGGCAAAACTTGCCCTGTGACTACCTAATCCTAAACCATTTATTCCCTGTAGGCTTTCAAAGGCATAGTGCTAAATTTTGATTTACTTCATATGAAAAAAGCAAATCTGTTGCAGCAAGAGCTAAAGGTTGGGATCCCAAAGATGGGGATCTGCCAGCACCTAGTATGCAAAGTCTGTAGTATTGGTGCAACCACTGCCAGCCCTCTTTGGTAAAATGCAGTACATGTTGACATGTACTCGGAGCAATTATGGAGAGCACAACAGAAAAGAGAAGGGGATAGTACTGATTCTTGATTTTAGTGTCAATCTCAATTTGCTTCTTTATATTTTTCCTAAATCAAATTTTCTGATCTAAAATTATTAATAAATACAAACCAAAGGCACAATTCCTGTCCTTGCAAGAAAATTACTGTAAGTGGTGGGAGAGAGCGATTCTTACAGAAAGGTGTTTTTGTTTCAGGATTTCCAGACTCATTAAAGAAAAATTATAAAGAGTTGTAAAACATCAGGTAATTCTTCCAAAAATAACATTTAATGCGATTCTTTCCTTTACAGTATGAAAGCAATGTGGTTTAAAGTCAAAAGATTGAAGATAGTATTCTTGACTGCCTATTTTTCTGAATCAGATTTGAAAAGCAGCTCACCTCCCAGGACCATACCGGCTTGACAACACTTCCTCAAGCGACACGCTGGACAGTTCTTCCTACGAATTTTATCGACTATGCAGTCATTTCTTCCAGCACATAAATAGTTGTGCTGCCCTGAAGGTAAGAGAAAAGGAAGATTAATACTATGTCTTCTAAAATGACAAAATTATTACTAGGAATAGATGTTCCAAAAATGAGAGGATTCAAAATAAGTATATTTGAACCACTAAAAGACTCCTTCATTTTACGCTAAGTTTCAAACAATCATGTGTTACTATCTAAATATAATAATTTATGTGGCCTGTTTCAGAGTGAAACTCCCCACCTGTGAAATTCCAAAATAATTAGCAGACAGTATGAACTGCTTAAGTTATGTACTATTGATATTTCTTAAGTAAATCAAGCATGAGGACACACCGCTTCACTTCTTTCAAATCTATTTTTATTTTAAGTCATTGTTCCTGATTTTAAAAAACTTAAGTAAATTTGATGTGCAGTTTCTAACAGAAAACGGAATGAGGAAGTTGGGGCAGTGCAGAAAAGAGACCTTTAAAGAGAGTAAATTACCTCTGATGGAGAAGCAGTTTTGTGCTAGACCTACTGAAATACCAGCTAAACAGATGCATCAACAGAGCCATAAAGGACTAGTAGAAGGCGGCTGTAACTTTTTGGTTTAGATTAGATCTTAGTTTATTGTTTAATTCTGAAGGACTCAGTTCAGAAAAGCCTGTCATTACTGTATTAAAATGGAATGTTTTTAATGTGACCAGCTTCCAGCAGAGCAAAAAGTTAAATTCATCTGATATTTTGGCATTCTTTTGAACAGAAACTTCAATGATACTTCCAAATTTCACTTGAAAAGAATGACAAAAATGTATTCTTATGCTTTAGTATACTCCTGATAATTTCTGTGGTTTTAATTTTGAATAAGTAAACAAAGCTACATACATAAGTAAGAAATAAAAGCTAACTTTCACTTATCCTTTCAAATTAAGCCCAGGTTTACCCTGTAGGGTTTAACTTTCAAATCTGCCTGTTTAGGCACATCACCCTCTGTGCATTTCTGTATTTTCAGTTTCTTACCAGTATCTAGCATGAAAGCATGAAAACAAAAACCAAAAATATTTATTTTGAGAGCAACAAAATGGATCAAAACAGTATGGACAAACAACGGATGGAGAAACTACTACAGAGTACCAATATCATGGTTACTTCCACCATGGAATATTGTAGTTGTGGACCTCCAAATATAACATCAATACCAGACCTTTAAAATTTTTACTACTTTCTAGACCAGCATTACTCTTTCTTAGGCATCTGATATTACCAGTAGCAAATAAATCTGAGGTGATTATTCTACTTGGATGCTGCTATTCAGCTTTCAATAACCCTATTCTATCCTTTCTCTGCACATGGTAAAATGAGTAACTGTTCACCAGTAACTTTTCTCCATGGAAGACAAAACTGAAAATGAATCCTCAGATGAAAATGCAGGAGAAAGAACATTCTACTGGAACAGAATAAAAGAGGTAGTGCTAAAGCATGTGAAACAATGTATTTGTTTCTGCGCTAGTATTTTTTTTTATAATTAATACATTTCTTACCCATATTTTTAAGGGCAACTTAAAACAGTTGCTTTATCCATTGCCTGGCATGTAAGAAGTATTCAGCAATGCAGTAAATCAGAAGAAATTCTCCTTTAGTTTCTCCCATTAATTCTAATCCTGAAATCCTTCTCACAGGAAAATTACCAAAAGTAATCAAATGAATAAAAATCTGTCCTGCTCCAGGCTGCAGACCAGAAAGCAAAACATTTATTTTGAACATGTCTTCCTCAGGATTATTTGCAGTTTTTCCTCATCTTGCTTTGCCTTCATTAGCTACAAAAGCATTCAGTCTTTTGATTAGCAACAACAGTTCAGAAACTCTGCTAGTTTAACTAAAATCGATGAAGCATCAGATTACCTCTGCACTGTGGCATTATGATGCTTTAATGTACAGTTAATTTAGGAAGGAATGCTAAGTGTAGGTTAAGTTTTGTTTGTGGGTGTCTTGGTTTTGGGGATTTTCTTTGATCCCTTGAAAGGCATCTCTTCTGGACTTTTTCTCTAGAGAATCTTTTGAGTCTACACAACATGCTCTGAGTCCATAAACCCCATGTCCATTACAAGACCAAAAAATGTACTACATATATCCAGCATGGCAGTAAATGCTCACAAGCAGGTCACAAAGCTACAGGCATTCAAGGTGCACAGTTCCCTCTATAATGACACAAAAAAATGCTGATCTACAAAAGCCAATGCCACACTGTGAAATACATCTCTTTAAGCACTCAGAGAACTCTGTATATAGTTCTAGAATGATGTCAGTATTTAGAATTCACTATTGTTATCACCATGTGGTTTGCATACCTGACAACCAAGTGTGTGCTCTAACAGCTAAAGGAGGCGAAGGACTTGGGGTAGAAGCATTAAGAGCAACACTGCTCCTGAGGCAACAGGAAATTATTTGGAAAACCAGAAGTTAACGTCTTGACTTATACTGATACACATTTAAATAGCCTGTATTATTTATCAAACTGTAAAACTTTAAATTTAGAGTTACCCATTTAAGTTTAGCTAAAGCTCTTAAAAACATCATAACTTAGGGGTTATCAATAGATCCAACTTCCACTTCAATTGAAAATGCATGAATTACTTCATTACATAACAAATCACAAACTGCTTGTTATAAATCCCAGAATTAACATTTGCAAAACAAAGTGTAAATGAATCACAATTATGAAAACTACTCTTCAATATTCATACGTTCTAGACTTTAAGATTAGATAGGATTAAATAGTCTGTCTATTCAATACCTACCATGGAAGAAATGAAGTCTGTTATTGGAATTTAGACACAAGAAAAATTTGCTTTGATCTTCAGAAGGTGAATATTATAACTATTTATTTCATAAATTGTATTTACAAATCTAATAATGACCAATGACCTAATCTTTTTCTATGTCTTCACCTGGTTTATTTCTTCCATAAAGCCTCCATGATACTAGCATAAAAAAAAAGAAGCAAGAAAAAGCCAAAATCCTAACAACCCAACCCCTCCATGACATTATGGTGATAAATTGATAATATCTCAGTCACTTCTAATGCTTATTGTCAACCACTTCCTTGTCTTCAAGACTATAAACAAGCCAGTCATATCCTACACTTGAATTATACCTTCATAAGAGTTTTCCACTCTTGTGCTTCTATCCAATACCCAACACCTCTCATCCCAAACTGTATTCCATTCATTCTGATCCAGCTGCAACTTATGTCGAAAACAAAGGTTCAGTTTTATATATATATAGCAGTTTTCATAGTCTCATCTGTCAGGGATTTTTTTTTTTATTATGTCATTCATCTAATTAGGTCTCATATCTATAGATTAATCTGCATACATTTTCTCTTCTGAAACCATTTCTACCATTGTGCAGAGCTGGGTTCTGAGAAACTGCTACTTGCTTGCCCTTGTGGCAGCAACTACCTGAGGGATATTTGGTGTAAGAAATGGAAAACATGCCAGATACTTGGTTCGTTTCGGAATTATGTACAATATTTAGTTAGATGAAGCTGTTTGTAAAGTTTTCATGGGATGCTAAAATATTCAACTGAAAATACACTTGCTGTATGTCAGTCTTTATGATCATCTATATCTTAACTAACTGGAGAAAATACAGAGTTGATTTCAGCTGTTACTCATATGTTTGATTCTTGTAGGACACCTTTTTTGTCAGCCTCTACTGAAATACATCTGTGTTAGCGAAGGTGGCGATCCTAACTCAAACAGGCAAATACAATTTTAAGTACTGTGATGACTAAGGGCAATTTTGTATGAGAGGTGGTCAAAATGCCATTGGTCCACACACACAAACTTGATCACAGGTTTTGCTGCACAGACCATACTCCAGCACTGAGACATTTTAACACAGATACTACTGGAAGCAGCACATATAGTGTCTTCAAAAACTGCACAATTATCTTAGCTCAATGACATGCCTTAAGTTACTTAAAATCATTCACGTAAACTAATGAGCTGCAGAGATTTTGCAGATATGCAAAATACAGAAAACATACTTATCTGCACTGGGGGTACCAGATGCAAGGTATCAGTTATTTTGGTGAGCCAATAATAAACATGGTTTCAAAATAAACAAAATGGAAAATAGTTTCACCTATATACCTATACGAAACATAATGGAGCAGATGTAGCTTTTTAGTAAAACTTTGACTTCTAGAAGCTAAGGCAATATACTCTGCATTCACTCTTGACAGTTTTCCTATAACTAGGACAGCCTACCCTAGTTCATCAGGAGGAGTGGGAAACACAGCAAACTTAACTTTTGCTCTGATATAAATCTGACACTCTTCTATTCATGCTGTTTCAATGTGCAAAACAGCAAATGTCAGTTAAGTTCACCTCTCACTATCTGGGTTTATGAGCTTTGGTCCTGAAGAACTAGGAATCTACTGCACAGTTTGCAATACTGAAAGTAGGCCCTTCATGTCCCTGTATGCCATTAAAGTTATTAGTTGCCAAGATTCCACACACCTCAAACAATGTTTTTTAATAATTTATACCAATTCATTTGTGTGCTAACATTTTCTCTAAAAATAAAAAAAGTCCCTTAAGGGAGATACAATATACTAACCACTCCCCACTGACTTTACCACTCATGATCTTTTTACAAAAAGCCTGGTAGTTACTGGGGAACTTGCTTCCAATTCCACATTGTCCATTGAAACAAAATTCTCATTTTCCCAACCAGGTGTCCTGACTACTACTATGTAGTTCATACGGGTATGGACTGCTACTGATGCAAATCCACTTCACAGCAATGATTTGCAGGATTAAATGGACCAAAGAGGGCTAAGAGTGGATAGCAGAGTAACTTGTGAGTATGTTCCATCCTGGAATCCTCTTCCAGCTGAAATAATATGGGATTCCTTTCTTCATAATAATATTGTTCAAAGAGAAAACAATGAAGAGCTATTGCATCCCAAGTCATCCAACAGCCTGGTGGTTATGGCTGCAAGGAAAGAAAGGTGTGTTTCACTCTCTTCAGGTACTGGAGAT